TATATAATATAATATAAGGAGAATACACATTAATAAAGGAGACAAGTTCACACAAGTGAAATGGTCACAGACTAAGAGAGCAAACAGAAAGAGAGACCAACATACACACACACACATAAATATATATGTGGATATATATCAATAAGTCATTCAAGCAGTCTTCATCAACAACACATTCCAAGTATTTCTGTCAGATGTGAGAAATTAATGATAGAAAATCTTAAATTTAGAGTAGTTGACGTATGAAAGTTATGTTGATAACATGAATAACAGGAAAGGATACAGACACTTATAAAAGTTTAAGAAGCTTTTCTGACTTATCTAGGTTTTCTCTCTTCTCATTGAAAATGATATCGGTGGCTTAGAGGTAGAATGCTCGCCAACCGCGCATACTGTCCGGATTTTGATCCCCGGTCGATGCACTACTTTACCTCGCTAAGCCGATAATTAGACTAGTGAAGAGGGAAGTTTGGGCATGGGACTGGAAATCCCACCCCGTAGAAATAAACACCATGAATACTTAAATTTAGAATCTCTTGTTTGAAGCCCTATGTGTTCCACTGTTGTGTGATAGTGTTGATAGCAATGTGTTGTTTTACAACAGTGATTTCAATTCAGTGAAGTCAAGGCTACGTCGTGGTGTGACAGTTTGACCCTGGACTTTCTGCGCGAAACGTGTTTGTTTTGTTCGACTCCTGAGGTTAGAATTTTAGTCCCACCTAGTTGGGAATATTCCTATTGATTTTCAAGTAGTTTATAATTGTTTTTGGCCATTTAATTTTGTTGTACTTGAGAAGCTTGTAGACTGTATAACTGCCGGATGGTATTGTTGAGATAGCTTTGTATTTTTGATACATGTTATCATTTTGTGGATTAGTACCACAGATTTTATCACATCAAAGTGTGTTTTTGATATTATTGAAATAATTTTGGATTATGTATGAGTCGCGGAAGTTTGTCAAGCCATACAGCAGAAGAACGCATCGATTGATCCCTTGCGTGTAGACCGAAATACTCGAGTTTTCTTCGTTACAATATGCAAATGAATATTGTGTCTTCAAATGTAAATATTTTTCAAAATAAAATCCAGTTCCATACACGGCGTTGTTCAATTAATTTGTTTCTGTTTTTTCTCTTGGTAATGTGATTAAATTGTCTTTTGAAATGATTAGTAACAGTGAATTCCAGGTGAATAAGAATTTTAAAATGATCATTTCAAAAATGTTATGACGGAGTGTTACTGGGTTGGGGTTTTCGTCTAACTTGACTAAAAGGCGCCTGCAGACACATGACACTATAACCAGCTGATCATTTGAAGCAAAAACACAAATCCAACACTGAGATAGACACAAAAGTTAAATTCAACTGCGATAACGTTTATGAGATACAGTACATGGTATATCATATTTACAAAACCTCAGAAATTTAAGTCATCGATAAACGAATCAAAAATGGTTCAGTCAATTTATCATATCTGTGCATGCATAAATCATAATTACACGGTTAACAAAGAAATTTTTCTGTCTTAACAGAAAGATATGTGAATATATTCCATGCATAATAATAAATAAGAAATATAAATATTTAACTATGTATTCCAAAGTATTCTTATGGACTTTGATTTTAAGAACGATTCATTTTCATGACCAGTCATACTTTTATTGTTATTACTCCATTGGGGAAATTGGAATACTAGCAGTACATCTCCATTTCACTCTGTTCCTGACTGCATGAGTGCCTGTATACTTTCATTTCGTCCTCACATGTACTCCTCCATGTTACTCAATTTTCTCCGTTAGCTTTCCAGTCGAGGGCCTCGCTTGTAGGGTCACCACTCCTCGGTGTTCTGCCAATCACCATCAATTCATGATTTTATTTTATATGGACAAGATTGTTTTGCAGTGTGTCCATATAAAAGACCAAATCCCTAAAGATTCTCTATCTTATTATGTCTATAAAATAAAATGCTTGGAATGTGATGCTATCTACATCGGACAAACATCTCGAGAAATCAAAGCCAGAAGAAATGAACACCGTAAAACATCTGTTCGACCATCAAGAAATCCGGTTGAACTAGAAAAGCTTGAAAAATTATGAGCCAGCCATAGGTCTACACGCTACGCTACAGAATCAGGCCTCATAATTGATTTTGGCAATATTGAAGTCATCATCAAGAAATCACAAAGAACGTCTCACATCATCAGATGGATTTCATATGAAATGAAATCTAAATTGTCTGAATAGGAATGATGGACTAGGACAGAATTTGACTTGATTACGACAGTTCCCTCTCCCATGAAATGACAAAATCAACACGAATGTGATAAGCAAGTTCCCTATGTAAACACACACACTACTTTTATAACTTTACACACTTATCAAACCCAACAGTCTACACCTGGTTTTGTTATCTTTACCAAATGGCCAATTTGACAACGAAAAATGACCCCGTGCTGAGAAACGATCATTAAGTTGCTATATATAAGCTGAGATTTTGCAAATTCTGGTTTAATAATACTTTAATAAAGCTATTGATAGTATTAAATAGCGAAACGTCAGTAAAAACAACAATATCGTTTTGTTTTCCATTCATTGGGAAATAAAAAAAACTTTTATTATCATAATATTATTGTATAACAGTTTTAAACACTGTAAGCAGGTACTGTTTATCTCAACAACAGAGGAAAGTAAAGGTGACCGGTTGAAGTGTTTATACTAATCCATATGGTTTCTTAAAGTCAATCTTATCTGTGTACAGATGAGTAGACCTCTTGGATAGGATCTTTTAACAACATGGCAACATAAGGAAACAGCTTTACATTAATTACCAATTTGCAAACATTTTTACTTCATCAATTATCGAAGTATTTTGCTGTGATTTATTTTCCTCATTATTGTATATAATCACATCTCTTTTCATTTTATACACCGTTCTGGAATGAATATATCAACGTAAACTGTATCACATATATGCAGTGTGGATGTATTGATTTTTTAAAAGTGTCAGAAGCACAACACTAATTCGGTGATGAGATACAATAATATCGATTTTAAAAAAGACTGACTGATGAACAAAGAATATTCTTTTCGACAGCTTACTCTTCATCAGGTTCATCAGTTATATGTATCCATAATCATTACAGAATTGTTGTTAGTAACAATATTAATGTTTTATGTAACACTGAATTAAAAATACCGATAGATTACAGTTCTAAAGCATCTGTGATTAACGATATGCATAAAAATATAGTATTAAACTGAATGTCAGATAAATTAAGAGAAATAATAGGGGGAAAAAAATCCCCATTTAGACATTTAGAAAACAGAAAGATTGAGTGAAGAAATATATACTTTCAATTAGATCCTCATCTCACTCTGGCTCTACTCTAATATATTGTGTATAGCATTTTTATTACAATACACAACAGTTTACTAATCAAGTGGCATTCATATGTTTGTTAACAATAATTAGTCAGTCAGTGTCAAAATGTCAATGGGGTGATAATAAACAAAGAAAATCAATACACATTTAAAAGGTAGAAATGGTTAGAATAAAATAATTTTTACAAGGATAACACGTAATTAAAGATGAAGTGATCAGAAAAAATAATTTGGAAAATTATAATTTTTATAGGTTTAGGAGGAGGGGGCGAAGTAGTCCTGTTTATGCATTCTTGTAACGTTGGCCACAGTAAGGAAAGTGGCTGTACAAATTTTTTCTGAACACATAGGCTTGGCTTCTTCAGGTGAATTCCGATTGCTTCAGCTATCTGTAGAAGACGAACTCGCAGAGCAAAATTAAGATAAGTCGGAATGTGATAAATAATTTTAAATGCAGTATTAGCATCCACCTTATGCTCAGTATCAACAAGGTGGGCTAAAATAGAACTACGGATAGATCTTGTTTGTCCCTTACTTAACCACGTTGGATGATGTTCGGAAATACAATGAGGAACTTGCCTAATTGTACGCCCAATATACCTGGCTCCACAGCTGCAGTCAAACTGGTACATAAACAATCAGGCAGGTTCCTCATCGTATTTCCGAACACCATCCAACGTGGTTAAGTAAGGGACAAACAAGATCTATCCGTAGTTCTATTTTAGCCCACCTTGTTGATACTGAGCATAAGGTGGATGCTAATACTGCATTTAAAATTATTTATCACATTCCGACTTATCTTAATTTTGCTCTGCGAGTTCGTCTTCTACAGATAGCTGAAGCAATCGGAATTCACCTGAAGAAGCCAAGCCTATGTGTTCAGAAAAAATTTGTACAGCCACTTTCCTTACTGTGGCCAACGTTACAAGAATGCATAAACAGGACTACTTCGCCCCCTCCTCCTAAACCTATAAAAATTATAATTTTCCAAATTATTTTTTCTGATCACTTCATCTTTAATTACGTGTTATCCTTGTAAAAATTATTTTATTCTAACCATTTCTACCTTTTAAATGTGTATTGATTTTCTTTGTTTATTATCACCCCATTGACATTTTGACACTGACTGACTAATTATTGTTAACAAACATATGAATGCCACTTGATTAGTAAACTGTTGTGTATTGTAATAAAAATGCTATACACAATATATTAGAGTAGAGCCAGAGTGAGATGAGGATCTAATTGAAAAGTAAATAATAGAGAGTCGATGAATTTATAGGTTCCAAAACAGGTCACAGTGGCAATAGTGGCTGGAATGTCTGAGAAGGCATTTTTACTCTGAAATTCTTCTTCGCATGTACATTTGATAGTTGGATGAAGTCCACTGAATTATGATTCTTATAGCACATCTGACCAAATCATTTTCACAAAGAATGAATGTATCATCCATAAATCGATATTTCAAAACTGTCAAGGTCATTATTAGATAGATTATATATGTCTATCATTATACCTCAGTCTTTTTAACCTTGATTTAATACAAGTGAAATGTTAATCATAAATTCCTTGAAAGTAATATCAGAATAAATAATTATTTTAATTTGGGAAAGAAAGCTATGCCACATGGAAAGAACGAAACCATTGAGGAGATATCGAGTAAATCAATTTACAAAATAATCGCCGACTCCCTTCACTTGTAGAAATTCCTTCAGATGAACATAGTACTTCAATAACACGAAGAAATACTGCTGAACGTATTAGTATATTTAGTTGGAAAGATGATGTAAGTTCACTTATAATCTCATTTCTTTTTCTCCTTCCATCTTTTCTTTTCCAAAAAAATTTAGAGTTGTTTTAGTATTTCAGAAAATACAAAATCTAAAGATTTTAGACGAAAACGTTATAAACGACAGAAAGGTGAATATACAGTTGTTAAAGATCCAACACCAGAAGCATTAAATGAGCTGATAGATCCACCACAAGATGAGGATAATGAAAATGTTAACGGTTATATTAACACTACAGAAAATAAACAGCAGTAACTAACTAACCAACCAACCAACCGAAAATGGAACTTCATGAATCAATCATACTGATTTTATTTTCTAGTTCTTTTTGCTATTTCATTTCAAAGTGTCCATCAAACAAACACTAATTAATGTTTAAAACAAAACTGATGTTTAAAATTCATTTTGATGATTTATTTTTATGCTCAAATGTCAAACTATACATATCGTTACTTCATTATCAAATGATACAATCCCATACTTGCGATCAAAGATTATTAACATCTATAAACAATAATAAGATTGATGTGACATATATTCAAAGTTAAATGGGATCTAAACATTGTTAATCTGAAGTAATTATTTCTTTTGGTGCTGTATTTATTTCAAAGAATCGATTTTGTTCAGTTCTTCTGAAGACAGAAAATAGCTTAAAGTTTACTTTTCTTTGATTATGCAGTTCATTTCAGAATTATTTTGTTTAAATCAACTGGAAATATTGAATTCAATAAAAAAATATATATAAATTATGGGTTTATAATCAGCTAATAAATGACCTGGAATATTTTTTTATCTTGCAAGAATACGAGGACAAACTGATTATGTAAGAGAAGGATATTATTTACTAACTGGGATTGAAAAGCTGTCCATGTTTCCTGATTATAGACCACCGTCTAAATGATATTTTGACGGTTGACAGTTCTGATTTCGCCGGTTTTCAGCGGTAGTCTTACTGGTAATAGTCAAGATCATCTTATTTATTACGGAACATAGACAGTTATCCCTGATAAGATACTGCTTAAAAGAGGATTGTATTACTACATTCATGATTAAGTAACTTATTAGAATCAATGGAGTTATTAATAATACTGATCAACTTTACGTGAGTACACGTAATTCTTTGGTTTCATATGATTTCAAATAACTGGGTTGTATACATTGTTATTTACAGTTGCCTAGGTACAAGCCGACTCAGTCAAAGCTATCGATGAAATTACAGGAATTTGAGACTTCAAATAACGACGATACTGTAAACTGAAGCACATTTATAGATCGTATGATTAATTAGGTACTGGTACAATTTTTCTCTATCATTTCACTTCTTTTCAGTTGTAATTGAGGGTAAGAAATTAGCACTAGATTAACAATTGTTTTAATTTGGTGGGTGACGATTAGTAGAGAGATTAAGGTTGTTTTTACTTTGTCCTATTTTGGACTCATCAATTCAATGCACCTGGATTATCCACTGCGTGACAGTGTTCTCATTGAAATTTGAAACCCACATTCCATAGTTTCAAACAGCAAGGCGTTATCCACTAGATCATCCGGACCACTGGAACCACCTCTTATGCAACGGATATCAGTTGTTATTATTTGTTTTTAAGTCGCCACTGAACAAATTACTTTAAATTAATTTTCAGACACTGTCAAAGCATCGGTTCTAGGGGCCAACATGTTAACAGTAGCCGAAAATTTCTGTCCAACCAGTGATCAGAAAAGTCAAAAGTGACTCAAAAACAAATAACAGAAATTATATTACTTAATGGTGTCATTACGCTTGATGATTGCTGCGCATGTTCGATACTTGTTTAGATGAGGGATTATTATTATTATTATTATTATTATTATTATTTAAGTAAACGCTTAACTCCAGCTTCTTTACATTTCAACATTGTTGCTGTCTTTTGTTTTGCGCCATTCAAAATAGTAACATTCACCTTGTGTTATGGTTTTCATTCTGAGTTTGTGGACGTTTGGAGCTGTCCACTAAGTTGATGCATAACATTAGGGTTGTAGTTTACCTTTATAACTGATATTCTGTAAATTTCATTTATACTGTCAGCCTTCGACAATGGAATTTTGGTGTTCATCGTAGGTTTTATTGCTATGTCAGTGCATGAATGCCCATGCAGCCTGTAAATATAGTTCACCTGTTAATGAAATTCATGCTACAAAATGTTACAACACTTAAACATGATAACACAATGGTCACAATGAAATATTTGAATGCCTGGGAATCCATAAAATTTTATAAATTTACTATTATTTCCTTTGGCTGACGACTACAGAAGAGTAATAATTTTGGCACTAATAGACCGTCATTAAAATTTAACTTCACCTATTTTTACCAGTACACTACTTCATTAACCGGCAGTAAGTGCAGAGAAAGAGAGGGTACAGGGCTAGTGACCCTACTCACAAAAAGATATGAAAACAAACTCATTACTCCCTGGATTCGGGGAGACAAAATTAAACGAGCTAATGAAAGTAAAAGACAATTTTATGGCATTGGCAACCGAAGTAGAAGAGGTCAAAGGTAAGAGAGACTCCAGGACACTTAGCCAGGTAACCAGGAAGAAGTCAGCATAGATCAAGTTTAACAAAAATAGTGAAGGGAACCTTATTATCAAAGAAGAGAAACAAAGGAAACAGTGGACTGATCACTTCGAAGGATTCTTGAACCGATAACCATCTGAATGCTACCCACAAATAATTCCAGCATCCACTGAACTGTCAATGAACATCAGTCCCCCGAATAAAACAAAAGTCTTCAATGCCATATAGTTACTAAAGGCTTGGAGCGTGTGCGTCGGTGGCACAGTGGTTAGGACTCTCGCCAACCATGCACATGGTCCGGGGTTCGAGCCCACGCCGGCGCACACCTGAATATCTATGGTCGGCCTGCAAAATTTGGGCTACCGATATCCATGCTGAAAATTCCATACTTGTACCAAAAATACAGTGTGGAATCGAGCTGTGAATCAAAAATAAAAATAAAATAGTACAACTCCCAACGCGTTAAGGTTTTTACCGTATACACATACCATTTTTTCGCTTTTCCGTTATGCTGTCAACAAGCACGTTCTCTGAGTTTATAATATAGCCATATTCATCAAATAGATTTTCAACCTTTTTCCATGAATAGTTTCGGCTTTTCATTTTACTCAAATATACTGCCTACCAAAACACATTTCCAACCAACTAAGTCTTTTTAGTTTGCTTTTTATCGTCAATGCCTACATGTTAGGTAGAGTACGGATTTACTGAGTAACTAGGTAAATTACGTTTATTAAAAGCTGACAATGTATAGCCTATCAAATTGGATTTACACTACACCTCGTCACAGCTGATTTACAGAGCCACACTCCATTCATTGGTGGACTAGTGTCTTCAGAAGCCAATGAACTTAGCGTTTCCTATGTTCATGTTTTGGCAGAGTATGCAAGAAAGCATCCAACTGCGCAAGTCCATGTTAATGCCAAACCAGACAAATCTACCTGATATCATTTTGTCTGTAGCACGTATTACTAGGTTTGAAGAAAAATGTAGACATTCAAGTACTGTTTGGCGTAAAGATGGAGGAGCGACAGATCTAGGGGGTGTCTGTAGATACAAAATAAATATATTGTCCTCACTTTTGGGAAGAGGCACACGCTCTGTCTGCAGAGAGGTGATGTACTAACGTTTATTTATATTCAAGTCTGATGACTGAATTTCTGTCATTTTTTGGCAAGTCGGTGGTTGGTGGTACTGTCATGGTAGTGTTTATTTCAATGAATACACTTAACGAGTTATAGAAATTAATGGTTACTTGGTCATACAGTTATAGCCCGCTGCTACAAATTATTAATATAATCCACAGAAGCATTCACTACTGGAGTCGTGTTTACTAGTAGAAGCTGTACACCGGTTGTAGATGATAAGGATGAGAGATTCCTGCAAAATTCAAAAGATACAACACGGTTAGTAGTGAAGCAAGCAGACAGTATGGACCAGTGAAAAGATGAAGCGTCCAGGGGCACACTGCATTTTAGATTGTACTCCGAAGTTATGCATATTCTACAACGAACCGTTTTTTTAACAGCAAACAAAAAACTGTACAATCATATTGTTCCAGACTCCACAAACGTTTATTTTTGCAAACACAGTGATGGAAAGTAGGATATGAAACCTTGTCAAACACACAGAAGGGCATGCATCATTCACTATCTTCTAACAGATAGGAGGGCATGCAAATCATCAAGAAGGTATGGTTCAACACTGATGACTCTTCTCATCTTTCTGAATTCTGTAATCATTATTAACCACAGAGTGACCATAGTGTTCTGTGTTCAATAGATGCCCATGCCTCCACAGAGGTTTCTTCGGTAATGGTATATAAAGTCTCTGACTTTGCTCTGATGACTGTAGTGGATGTGTCATTTGTAGGTTCTTCATCCAGATTCTCAGTGTCGGACTTGAACTGCGGCCTATCTACAGCTACTTTCGATGCTTCCAACTTGACCCTGAGGGGTATTTGCACTGCATAATAGTCTAAGTTACAATCTGCTCGCCTTCCAGATTTTTTATCCTAGTTATTGAGGTTAAGACGAAGTCTATCAAATTTTTGGTGTGTCCCTCAGGCGAAATCCGTGTTGCCTTGTGTGTATCCTTATACTTGTACTTACTACCTCCAATTACCAAATCAATGAATCCACAGAAGTCTGCAAAGAGTTCTCCGTTCTCATTCATTTCGTCTAGCGAGAGACTCTCGACCCGTGATGAGTTCTCTTCCCGTATTTTCTTTATCCAGTCCAGCATCCATACCACACATTAGGAATTTGTTGTCCCTATTTAAGATGTTGTCCATTTCTGTTTGCAGTTTTTCATAAAAATCTTCCTTCTTCCTCTTGTTCCGAGTTGTCTGTAGATGCGTAGCGTTGGATAATTGTAGCCATCCTTCTTATTCAGTTGAATCTTGCTGTCATAATCCTGGAGAAGACTGGTTCCTCCTGTATAGGACCTTTGGCTGGTGACAGTGACATCACTCTAGCCTCTCTCTCAGTGTGCGCGTTGTTGTCGTCTGGGTAACCAGAGTAGATTACTAACCCCCTCCAGTTGACAATCTGGATAGTCCGCATCTGCTCCTGCAGATTCTTAGCACACATATGCCATGTCTTTTCATTTTCTTGGCTAATCGGAGAGCCTTCACAGCTTCTTACATTGTGAAAACATTCTACATCCTCATGTTTGATTTTACCTGGACCTATTTTGCG